TCTGCTTCTCAGTGAAACACTCTTCCAAGGTAACATATTCAATATTTATCTGATGAACAAGTTTTTAAAAGTGTTATTCTCGTGGCCCAAAAAAACGCAAGAAGGGAACAATCCAATGTGTTTTTGTGATTGTAAATATTTCGACCTTGCGTGAGACAAACGTTTGATTACATTGAATTCATAGAAGTATCAGATTGCTTCAACGTCTTCGGCAAAAAAACATTTGACCTGCCGTTATAAATGATTGAATTGTCCTCTTTCAAGTCCACAATAAAGCTCAAGTTTACCCCAGAACTTTCTTAGGACTTATAGGTGTTCGAATACCCAAAGAAAAACAGACGCTCTCCGCTAGCTTAAGGAATGTGTTATTGTAAACAATTCCCCCATGGGAAATGGAGTGGTTAGCTATGCAAGGCTAGCTTACTGTATTGATTTCCTGATCGACCACGGTGCTACCTTTTAAAATGTGCTTGGAATTCCGGATTTAACCACGGGGTCCATAATTAGATTATGTCGTGACTATGTTGCGATTTTCACAAAGTTCAGCCTGGTTTTTCCGTGCGGAAATAAAAAGCCCCAAATTAATTTTTATATCCTCGAAAACAACAATGACTATTTCTACTTATCATGAGCTTAACCTGAACCGATTCCGAGTTAAACCGCATGGTGAAAATGATAATTGAAAATGTGCCACAAAATGCGATATTTGGATTTTGAAATATTGGTGATTTTTAAAAGCGTTGATGTCAAAATTAGATGAAACGGTCCCGTTTTAGAATTAAGCCATACCTCAATCCCTCCTATACAAATTTGTCAAATTGATACGAGCTTGCTTTCTTTTGCGCTTCTCATGAGCAAAGTTCATTTGCCTCTACTCGGGGCACTGATTTCCACCGTTTTACGGCTACAGAAGCTCGTTTCAGTTTTCGTGAATTTTCTAGGATAAAGAAGCAAGTCTGGGGAAAAAAAAATTACCACGTTTCTAAGTTTACTATGAGGTATCTCTGGGAAAAATACGAAGGTTTTCACTCGGTCAATTAAAATATTCGCTCTTCAAAGCTTACCTTACCTTTCCTTTCTATTAAAAATCACGTTGCACGGATTAATTTTGGCCGTTTTCACGCGTTACGTATAAATCCTTTGCCATCCTCTGTGCAAAGCAGGAAGACTGAAAGATGTTCATTTCCCTTCAAATAGGTCGTCGTAAACTCCAAACGCTTTGGCTACAATTTATCCGTAGTAGAAAATGTGCACGGTAGAAAAGCATCCGCTGTAGGATGACTCTTTTTCGGCTCTTCAAGTGCTTTATGTTTCTCTTCGGCTTCTACCTAACCAACATCTCTCAGATGGGGTCGCTTCTTTTTCTTTTTCGAAGAGTAAAACGATGTCACCCGAAACCCACCAAAAGATTCCGCCCAGCGACTTGCTGACTTGCATCTGGCGGTAAAAGTTTCTGCGGGTGGACATATCTTAGCCCTCTTCTGTTCCTTTGAAAATGCCGGGTTTTCTTTTTTCTTGCACTCTTCAAAGCCGAAGCCAAAGCGAGATTGAATTATCCTTGGATCAAATGCAAATAAACAAGATTTCACTTCGTATCGAGTACTAAAAAAAATAAATCCTTTGTCAAAGTTTATTTTTCTGCTTGGCGTGCTTAACGCTTGGTATTTTTAAGACTTTCGAAAAGCGTGCCCCGGTTCCCATGCATTAGGTTTGCACGCGAAAAGGGGCGAAATTTTTTATGCCATTTTCAGAGACAGAAGCACCAGATATCTAGCGGTATTTTTTAGTAAAGGCTGATAGTTTCGAAAGAAACTGTTTGGGGCTGCGTCGGTGGGAGGAAGGAAATAATTTGGATATATCAAGAAAGTTGAAACGGTAAATTGGCCGCCGTAACGATTACAAAAGCTGACGTTTCGAGCGTTAGCCCTTCTACGGAGACGGTATTTTTGAGTGTATGGCCGTTTGAATGTTTAGTCGGTTTAACGGAAACATTCTTGTCAATAATTGCAAAAGGGCTATAATTATGGAAACATTTTCCGTGATACTGTTTAAAGGCTTCGTAACAGTGGTTTACAGCAAACATTCACTTTTCTTTCACTCGGTTGTTTCTTTTTCCTGTTTCGCCGTGCTCAGGTACCAATAAATATCACATGTAAAGTCTATTATTGTTAATTGACCTCTAGAACACAGTATTTTAGTTGGTTCCACTTGTTATGTTATGATTTCCAGAAAAAGAGTTGTATTTCTATCGAGCGGAAGGCGGAAGGCACAAGTGCAAAATCTCCAGCTTCCATGCCCATTTAGTTCAGTCTGGAGTTTTCCCAGGTGTATCGAGCACCAGCCGGCATCCTTTGGACGGGCGTGTTGTTGTTGTTATTATTTTTCCCTTTTTTTGTTCCTCGGCTTTTGTTATTCGCCGCGCCGCTTTTTTCACCCTGCTTCTGTGCGCAAGCCTTTTATTTAAGTATGCCGTCGTTCGCTTAAGGTAATGCTCTAAGTCAAAACGGTCAGTCGTGCAAATTGCTGTCGTCGGATCAACCGCATTGTAACGTGAGCTATTGCGGTGTGTGCTGCTTTACACAGCACAAAGATTTTGCAAAGCTATGTCGATCCTTTGTGTGGAACAGAACCACAAGAGAATGAAAACTCTTCAGGTAACATACTTTAAGTTTTAGGATGTTGATAGTTTTGGACAAATTTTGTCAGTAGAAGTGTTTTTCTTTTCATAAAAAGGTTGCTTCTGAAACAATTATAGCATGGTGAACCGTCAAGTACACGCGTGCATTCTGAACACATTCGAGCCTCTTTTAGAAAAAAATATTTTGACATTTTACTCTACGGAGACGAGAACAATTTCGCGAAAAACTTCGCCTTTGTTTTTCGGATTTCTTGAACTTCAGGTCTTCTTCGCCCGTGCATGTGCGCGAGTTTTATGGTGCGTATCGAAAGATTTCAGATCTCAGCCAAGTTACGGAAAAATAGACTCATTCGTGTTCAAAATTCTATTCGTGTTCGTCGGTGGAAACAAAAAATAATAGTTAGTCTTGGCTTATAATTATATCTGGTGATGGCATGCATAACTCTTTGAACGACACCTCGTCGTGTGTCACTTAATATTTAGGACATTGTAAACAATCTGAAGGCTATCTTTCGACTCATATTTGTTTAACTTTTGAATCTCAAAGCAGGAAAATCTTGAGAAACATAGTAATACCTATTCAAACAGGAAAACGCGGTTCGTCATAATTCATATACATCTATTTTGTTGTGAAACTTGCATGAACGCTCTCGCAAAAATTATCGGGTTTGGGGTCAGTCAACATTTTTTGCGCGGGTTTCATCGTACAGATCTTGAGTTTTATAATTTCTTTGGTTTAAATCTGAAAATTGGAGTTTTTGTGGCATTTTGGACAGTCGCTGTTATTTTTTCTTTCTTTTCTATTTTTTCACCTGCACACTTTTTAAGTCGCACGTATGGTGCGTGAAATTGTCCTGAATAGGGAAAATTAAAATTATTTGTCTTGTTAAGTTTCGTGTTTGCTGATTGATTACAAGAAAACTAACCATTGCTACCGTTTTTTGTTCAAATCGCTCGATAACTTTTTGTACATGGTTTAGTTTTCAACCGACCCTGTCCAAAAATTCTTGATATCTATTGATACATTACTTATTTTTAAACTGTCTTTTATTAAATCGCAAACTTGTTCAAACTGTGTCTCGTCGATATGGTATAATGAAATCAAAACTTGCTCGTCACTGCTAAATCTTTTGGAAGTCTGGCTAAACATCTGCTCTCTAAACGTGTTTTTGTTTAAAGTGAGTCTTGCTGTGACCAGAATTGTGACCGGAAGTTTTGCAATCGTCCGTCTTTTGAATGTAAGTTGTGTCTCTTGTTCTCAACTCCACTTCAAAATTCGTTTCTTTTGCCTTCGCATACATTAAAACTTAAAGAGTGTTATATTTTACCGTTTTGGGGAATGATTGGCCACATTATTGAAAGAATTGTTTTATTGTCAAAATTGTCTTTGAATATGTTAAGAATTTGTTGTTTTGGTTGTTCACAAGGTCTTGTTATCCGTTAAATGTAGGGAGCTGTTTCGTTAATCGCCCCTGTTTGAATAACAATGGAAGGTTTCCAGGCATTTTGTCTGTAAGATTTAGTCGTTTATTGTTAAAATGTGTCATACTCGTCAAACAGAGTATGCCCCATCTAGTGCACCTTTTTACTATTCTTAAACTACATTGTGGTACGGATAACCTTTTTTTTTTGTCATTTTTTTTCAAACCTGAGCCAGTTTTCATTTTTCAATGTTTCGGCACTGTTTTACATAGCGAGAAGTCAATCCAGTTCTCATCAATTATTCATCAAGAGAAAGCTTTGATTCGAAACAATTGACCAAAAAATAAAACCCAGCTTAAATACCGTTATTTCCGGTCGAGAAACAAATTATGACTTAATTGACACCTGTAAACTGCATAAAATTCTGTTTTAGCTTCCCAAAGTAAAACAGAAATAATTTTGTTACAGCACAAAAAAAAATTACACTTCCCAACTGGTAACAAAGTGATTTTGAAAACCGAAAGTTGAGGGAAAAAAATCAACGCATTCTTCAGAATAAACAAGTTTGTCAAGATTGTTAGATGTGTACTTCATAATTCATTGGTTAATTCGCTTGAATAGTGCTTATCCATCCTTTCGAAATTTAGATGAATTTTCTTAGACGTGTGTCGTTACAGTCACGAATTTGTAAGTGGGTGACCGTTTCACCTCACGCGTTTTGCACGAGAGAAAAGTATTTGAGAAATTCTTCTTTTTGTTATAAACGACAGTGTAAAACAAAACTGAATGCAAATTTGGTGAATAAAATTCATTCCTTTCCGTTGTCACAGAATGCCAGAAATGATTTCTTTTGCCAGACAAAAGTTTTAAGTAAACCTACAATTTCCCACAATTAAGCAAACCTACATAATTGTTGTTCTCTAGTGGGGTTTGTCAAGAAGGGAATTAAGGTTCACCCATCCGGCCTGGAAACAATTCTTCGATCCTTTTTTTTTTTTTTTTTCTTCACAATTCTGCGAAGTACAATGATGAAACTTTTATCAAAACGGCTTTCGATGAAGGAACTAGTAAGTGGAATTTACCTTGCTAACAACCTCTTTGGTCTTTCGAGACATCTTTAAATTTTTTTTTCGGTGATCTCTTCACAAAATCTGCATAAATTTCTCTCTTGTTTTGATTTTCATCGGTCGGAGCAAGTTGACAGGAAGTGCGGGGTCTTAGTGCGTGAAAATTCGTGTATCACATTGTCAAGGTTTTCTTTTTGTCTGCAACAGGCTTTTACTGAATTGTCGGTTGAGTCCTAACAGCTTTATACCATTACAAATATTGATGGCTCTTGAACAGGAAACGATGTGCATTCTTTATAGTAGTTTGAATTCATTTTCAGTTTTTTTTGTGAGCCCTTTCGCTCGGTACAGACTTCGGCTACAGGTAACTTTGTTTCTAGTACGACCACGTTTTGGTACTGAAAGGAAGAAGGTTTCTGAACTCTTGAGCTCTCCAATTGACGCCCAAGAAGGTGTTCTTAGACCGTAGCTTATTTTTACTGTGTTAAAGCGTCTTTTTCTTATTCATGCGAATAACCCGGTAAATTTCATAAGCAAATCACGGAATATTTAAGTATATTCTAAATGACTCGCGTTTAGTGTGTATTTACTGTCGCCCTTTCGTCTTAGGGGCTCGAATGCGAAGCTCTGGGGCACCGCCAGGGGCTTATCCGAGTTCGGTGCAAATAGGCGAAAGCCAGGTCAATCCGGCGTGCATTACTTTAGCAATATTTGTCTATTTCAAAACAACCTTCCTTGAGTAAAGGAACACAAAGGGAAGCAACATTTTGTATGTTAGATCGATTTCCCCGAAGACTCGTGCTCCTCCCACTTAGCCAAGCTAGCCAATCACGTTACAGAGCGCCCTAATTATCATGTCATGTTATATTGGCCTATTTGAAACCTGTGAGAGTTCGAACAACTTTGGATTATCTAGCGGGTGGTTTGGTCAGCCCCGAAGCCGCTATTAAATACTGTGAGCAGCTCTGTGAAGTGTGTCCGTGCTGACAGTGTGTTCCTCTCTCCAGATGACCACTGCTTGCGAGGAAAAATCTACGGCGAATTTTACTCGCGAAGTTGGAGACCAGTCTTCGGTAAGTTAGCGTTTGGGATGTTTGTTTTCGTATTTATTACTGTAACATGGTTGAATGCGAGTTTCTCGTGTGCCCGATGATGACCTGTTGTGCGAGAAATTGTTTGTTTACCTTCCTGGACACAACGTGAGGTCTTATTTCCTCTTTGAACTAACATATGTACAATTGAATGGCGAGTTTGAGAGTCCCTCTGTTAGCTTTACAGCGCCTGAGAATGTATATCAAAGATCCCTTTCTTGGATGAATTAAATTTGTTATTATTATTTTGATAATCGTATGCCTCGGGGGGAGTTCGAAGACATATATACATACCGCGCCAGGAAGAACAAACTTAATCACCGCACGAGTAGCAAAAGCAATAAAGAGTCAGCATCGTGTCTTGTGTTTCTAGGCACATGGAGAAAAGTGTGCAGGGTGCAAAGGTAGAATTATGGACCGATATCTTGTAAAAGTCAGCGGGAAGGCTTGGCACACGGGCTGTCTGAAATGCTGCATGTGTGAACTAGAGCTCGGCAAGGAGGCCACTTGCTATACCAAGGAAGACAAGATTTACTGCAAAAGCGACTATGCGAGGTGAGTATTATTTGCGTGCTCATTTCAGGTTTACCATCTAAATTTTACTTAACAGTGCGCCTCTGCGGTTTGTGGACAACATTTATACTTTGTTTGTATCAAACAGTCAAGAATATATCGTGCGGATTGGAATTTCGGGCACGAAATTATAAGCTTCATTTTTATCTTGTCATTTTCGTTGCTTTTATTTATTTTCTAAGCAAAGGAGATGAAAAGTAGCTTGTAAAAATACATTTACTAGTTTTTCTTCGCTAATTGATCTGGCCACAAATCCATCCCAATAGTAATTTGTGTCCGTCTTCTTTCTAGCGACATTTGCAGCTTTCTTTCAGTTTTTGTTTTTTTTTTTACGTTGCTGTTTCCATTAAGAAGTGTACGGAAATTACTTTTCATCTCTTAATTTGAGCGCTACGTTGCTGTGTCAGTTTAAGTGTGAAATCGAGAAGTATTCCAGGCGACCAAGTTTCCTGTATTCCACCGAAACGTCTAGGAACACTGGAAATGATCTAGACTGAGCCAGTCTGAAAGATGATTTCCGATAAGAAAGCCCTATTTAAGAAACTCGTATATTTATTTTTGACGTTTGATTTACGGACGGCTTAGGCGAGGACTTGTTGGACCGTTAAACAATCGAACATAACAAAGGTCCCTTTTGGTTTACAAGACTCTACTTAGTAAGACAGAGCTCTCCTGTTGCGGGACATTGTATTAACCATACCACAGTTAAAGTCTTTTATGTAACCAGCAGATTATTCCTTAATCTTCCCTGGCACGGTATCTCTAACGAAACCATTTTAAAGTGGCTTGAATGAATGGTGCTGGGAATCGTTCCAACTGCCTGGAATTTAATTTTATTATTTAAATTTTTTTTTAGTTTAGATCAGCGGGTATTTTGTTGTCATACTGGGGAAGCTTTTAAAGTGCGCAGAAAATGCGATTCATTCTTTAATGCTACGTTAGGACCGTCGGTTTATTGTCGACGAAGCGACCACCTCTAAAAACAAAATGACCGCATAAATAATGCGTTTGATCCGTTTTACCGACTTTGCCAAGTTCAGTAAAAACTCAGTCTCCGATTCTGAGCGCCTTCCTCACCGACTTGCGCGTATTTCTTCACAAGTTCGTGTTCCTGTTTAGCTTGACTCTCACCTGATCTATTTTTTCCAGTGGCTTAGGCGGTTGAGAATTTCCTGGCCAAAAGGCACAGGCGAATAAAAACACCTGCCTCTTACGTGTAAATGTAAACATAGTGAATTATGTTTAAAATGCAAACTTGCAAATTATTTTTCACACCCCACATGAGTGACCCTATTTGTGTTTTAAACTGGTGAGTGTCACTTCTTGAGGCTTGGAAATCTGGCGTAAAAAGACGCTTTGTCGGTCTGTTTCAACTGAATTGGAAATTGGTATTGGTATTGAGTGTCCTCTGTCTAAAAAATAAAAGGTTTCAAAAATATTTTGAAATGCGATCACTCCAATTTCCAACTGGCTTACTTGAATTGGTTTCGTTCAAAACTGTTTAATCGGTGCGCAGTTTGTCTTGTGTCGGTGTAAAACAACTTTTCACTCTTTCTGACTCGTGATCTGTTACATGAGATTTCAAGCCAAGGATATCCAGAAAACAGTTATGAAAATGATAATGAAGACAAACTTATGAAGAGAAAGGTAACGATGATGTAAGCGTAGCAGATGTGAAGCTTCTTGAAACTATAGGGTACAGTTTTCATAACCCTCCAAAAATAATCCTTGCGCGACCGGGTTAATTTCACTATTAATGTGTCTTAGGATAATACTTGCCCTTTCAACTTAAATGAAAAATTTAAATGAAGCTAATTCAAATAGTTCTTACTTCGATTTGGATCCCATAGCGATGAATATAGAGTTAAGGAACGGTTTCGCAATAGTTTATTTGTAATGTTTATGTTTAATAACTGTTATTTATCCTGTACTTATACAAGTATCATTGTGTTTGTAGTTATTACCCGCCTTATTTATTTTTCTGTTCACTTAAGTTGCTATGAAGTTCTGTCTCGTTGAAAGCCATGTCTAAGTGTGTTTGCAGTGGTTCGTCAAAAACTGTGCTGAGTTTTTTGGTCATTGTCAGGTTATCGAGCATTATCTTTGTCAATATTGTGTCAATTTAAAGAACCACTTGTATATTTGTCCATAACAGAACTAACAATGATTTTCCTCCTTGGAAAAGCAGAAGTTTTCCCCTTCCCTTTCCAGCCCATTTTGTAATAAGTCGTGATATTATCCGTGAGAATATTTATTATCGCTTTTATCTTGACGCTGATAAACATACACCAAATTCGTGCTCACTCTCGTCCTCATAACGCTCGAGAAGTGAAGAAACTTGTTTCACACAAAAGGAAAAGAGCTTCTTCCCTCCCCATCCAGCCCTCTCTTCACTACATGGCGATATTTTCACATGATTATTAATCTCGTCCATTAATTTTACGATCTACAGGCAGTTCGGCACTAAATGTGCCCGTTGCGGACGAAGTATCCACGCGAATGACTGGGTGAGACGCGCGCGGAGCAGCGTCTACCATCTCGCGTGTTTCGCGTGTGACGCTTGCAAGCGACAACTTTCTACAGGCGAGGAGTTCGCGCTAAAAGAAGGACATGTTCTTTGTAAATTACACTACATGGAGAGTTTGGAAGTTTTCCCTCCCGATAACTCCTCACAAGACGGTAAGTTTTTGTAGTTCTAGTCTGACTGAATCTTGTTGACAATTTTAGTGTGTTAAATCGACGCCCGAAGGGCGAGCGAAATTAGAGTCGTAAGCGAAGCAACGAACGCGAATGAACGTGGATTACCCGCACTTTACGCGTCCTTACGCGCGCTCAGCTCACAAAATAGAAAGAAGGAAAAAAACAACGGCAGAGAATAGGCTTAACTAAAAGTTCTTGTAGAAACGAGATTTCATGATGAACTAATTTCATTAGTGATTTGTGTTAATCAGGGTTCTGCTTAGTTAATCTGAAGATGTTATTCGTGTTTAGTAAAAAAATATATATATATAGAAATGTGAAAGAAGGAAATTATTACCAGTTACTCGAGTTTCACGCTCTAGGCGGTCATCAGTCTGAGAGTTGTCTACGAGAAGACAACTTGTAAACAACTCTCAGTCTGATGATCGCCTAGAACGTGAAACTCGAGTAACTAGTAATAATTTCCTTCTTTTACATTAGTATTTTGCTCTGCTCATTTCTGCATCGGGCACTCTAAGGATAAGTGAAACAACTTTATTTCTTGTTTATATATATATTACAAGGGTCGTGATGTCACGTTCGCAAAATAGACGTTAAAAACAAGATTTCTTTTTAAACAGTCTTAAACTTGAAAATTAAACAAAATGAAAGTCACAAGAGAAATATCGGCAAATCCAGTTGAAGAACTGTTAAAAATCTATATTTGTCGATGTGTTTACCCTCTAAACTGCGTATTAGCCTTGTCATAAAATTGCTTTGAGAAATTTCCCGAGGAACAGAATTGAAAGTTTCATTGGTGTTTTTGCTTAAATATGCAACTGTAAAAGGGGGTCTCTTTACTCAGATAGCGCATAATTTGGATTCTCTCAATACAGTGTAATTAATGATCTCCGACTTCGCCTGTCTGGTTTTGTTTTATTACTCGGTGTCTGGAGGGAAGTTGCGTTTCAATAGGAATTTTCAGGCTCACTTTACAATTCATTATTATGAGTTTGATCTTTTATGCGATGTTAGTAGCAGAAATTGATATTAATACGCTTTGCATGAAGACCCGCCTGCGAATTAACCTGTTTCGGAAAGAAAAAAAAAAAGAAGAAAAACTCAAGTGTGAAAAAGAAACCGCTATACGCATAACTTTTGTTTTAGTTTCCTCTTCTTTTGAATGAAATCCCCTAAAACGTTAGCAGTTTTAGGGGTTGCCTCAAAGAGACTGTTCCAGGAAACAGCGGAAATTTTGTTGACACGTCTCGCTTTTGGAGTCAAAGGAAGGTTGGTTTTTTACATTACAAAGCGCGTTTTAGCGGAGTCGCTTGAACAAAATGTGTTCAGAGGTGCGACATTGAATTCTTTTTATTGAGTTTCTCAGAAAGAGTAATTACCGAACATATATAATTTATGGAGGTTACGAAGTTCTTTTTTTTTTCCGCGGTCTCTTTTCAACGACACACAAAGCGTCCAGAGACCAGCTGCTTGACTGAGTATTTACAAATGACGCTTGAATGAAAAAAATGTTTCGACCAGCAACTTATTTTCACTTCGCTCAGAATTGCACACGGAACCATAATGCGATTATTATCTTCCAGGTTCTTCATTTACCGTAGAAGTTTGACACTTTAAAGATCTTTGGTTTTGCTCGCAGAAACGAACAAATCGAGCCTTTGCGGACGTCTAGCTTTTCCCATTTTGTCAATTTTGTTTTGAATTGTAAAGCTGAAATATTAATTTAAAATGTTGAGGCTGCAATTTAAAGTAATGATTGTAACCAGTTCGTGTTGAAAAGACTGTTGAGGACAGAGAAAAACTTTCCTTTGAAAAAAAATTTTTTTTTCATCCACAATTTTTAGGAGAACTTTTCGTTTGCAAATTCTTTTCTGTTTTTTGAGTTATGCATCGTGGAACTGTCCTAACAATGGAACGAGTTTCGTGCCTGTAAAAATACAGTAATTTAGAGACGTTTCATTTAGTAAGCTCGGTCACAATTTTGTATATTTTTTCCTCCATAATTTATCTCTACCACACGGAGAATCGTGGATCACGCGATGCAGTTGGTGTAGGTATTCACTTCAGAGAAAATATTTCATGCCGTGAGGTAAATGTAAAATTACGATCTTTCGCAGCCATACTGCATGGTTGTTTGGAAACAAATTACCAATAGACTGGGAACCGACTGAGCTTTAAAGGTGCATACAAGTCGCTTTTTTTTTTTGTTTGTTTGTTTCGAGCGGTTTTGAAAACAACGTCGAAACTATTTTGGTTTAAATTGCTCTGGTTTTGTTCAACATATATATTATATTTTACCAAATTGGGTCGCACTACCAACACTGTAATTAGTCTGCCAGAGAACTTTAAGGTGATCGAGATGTGATCTATTTTGTTAATGCAGCTGGCCGCACTCGACTTTTGTGCTGGTTATCCGTTTGTGTTTGAACTGGTCATCAGTCTTATGTGATTTATGTCCTTTTTTTTCCTTACAATTTATGAAACTGGATTTTTCTTTTATAATTTAGAGGGATAGTCCTTCTGTAAGAGGTCACAATTGACGTCAAAACGAAGTAAAAACAAGAAAAACAACGGCAACGCGATATGAACGGTGTATCACTGACTGACGAAACACCCTTTGTCTTGCTTTCTGTTTTCTTTTTTTTTTTTTGTCCTTGTTCGTAAGTAGTTCCCTTTGAACTCTCTTCAAGGTTATCTCTAGCTTAGTCCAAAATAAAATGTTGAAAAATGTGCACCAAACAAGAGAGAGGAAAAAATTGCTCTCAAGTCGGCTGTGCTACTGTAGTTGATGAGATCTCGAGAAACAACCTACTCTCGTAGCGCAATTCAGTTCATTGTGAATCACAATGAACATCTGTAGATTCTAACATCAACTCTATTACGAATATGAGACTTCAAGAGTTATTAATCAAAATAATAGAATTAGTTCCTTGTGAAGTTTCTACGACCCAGAAGATTTGCTCAATGATTGTTATCGGACATTACTGAGCCGTTTTCTTTTTTTCGCTTAACATCTGATGACAACGTTGAAGGCTATTGTGTTTCCCTCCAAAATATCGCCGGTTTGCGCGCGTCCGAATTCACGATCGTATTCGTCTTAGGAACTGTAAGTCTCTTAAAATTTGTTACCATGGTGCTAAGACCTCTATTTGTATCCCCTCTTAGTTGCTCTTTCTTACTGCACTCAAAGTGATGGAGGGATTGAAGACATGGTACAAGGTGATTTGTATAGTTTGAATTCAAAGCCGACTGGCTGATAGTAAATTATCTTGTTTTTTGTCCGCACGTAGACAAATTTTAATCGCAAAATTTACGGTGCTGTAAACCATTTTCTGCAGTCAATCCCTCTTAATCACGTGAATACACTTCGCCTGACCACGTGATTCTAAGTCCATTCATAGTAAAGCGGATTCAGGCCCATCGACCACTCTCACAATTGAAAAGTTCTTATTAATGAGAGAAATATTTTTCACACTGTTGAAAAAGAAATTCTTCGACCGCTCCCTCAAGACAAAGAAGCGAAAAAATTATTGTATGGCTAGTTGAGAAAGTATTCCTAGTAGCATGTCAATCCTTGCGCTTAGTGAGATTGACTACAGTTATTAAAAGATGAAAATTCTAGCCTGCGGCAAGCCCTCATTATTAGGATTATAAGCACCGCAGGAAGCAGCCTTTCTCTGCCCGCGGGAAGATTGGAGACCAGGCGGGAGAGGTTTGCCGGAGGTCTGGTCAGTGCTAGACCAGTCATAGACCTCTTACCGCTAGCGTTGCTCAAGGCCTCAAACGTACTCGCGGGCGAAGAAACGCCTTTGATTTGGAGTGAGGCTGAAGGTGACTTTGTCGTGATAAGCATCAGCATCTAGTTACATTTGAAAAGCAGCAACTTTTGTATCTTAACAAGGTCACCCTCAGCCTCACTCTCGTTCAAAGGCTTGGCAACTAAGCACACAACCGTAACATAGACTATTTTCTCATTAAGTTGTTCTTGAGACTGTAGGAGCTGATCATCATAGAGAAAAGCAATGTTTAAGGGCGATAAATAATGTTTGGGCAAATTTCAAAAATTAAATTCACTGCTGTCTGCTCTTGACCGTTTGTGCCCTTCCAACTTTAAAATTAACTAAGTGAGCACAGCACAGTCATAATCACATGTACATTTTTGTTGTTTGCTGTTGCTGTAAGCGTCAAGCTGTAACTTCCATATCGTGTATTTGTCAACCGTATTATAAATTCCCAACGTTTCCTTCCTACGCTTCCAAAGAGACTAAAGTTAGGCCATGGACTGCAAGATCGGTCAATTGTTCGTGTATGTGTTTTTTCCACTTAAAGGTAGACAAAACACTAGTTACCGTACCTTAAATGAATCAAGGGGGTATATTTTTCAAGAAATTATGGTGCTACGCAGGTGGGGTAGTGTTACTAGATAATTTAATTTTTATCAACTGAATCGATATTGTAAATTTGTTACCGTTTCTAAAGCTGACGTTTGGAGTTTTTAGCCTTTTTTAGAGCGTTTAACCCGCCGTCATTTTCTCTGACGAAGGCCAACACTCGAAACGTCAGTCTTAGAAATTTCTATGTTGGCTAATTTACGTTATCAACTCAGTTGATAAAACTAACATACCTTAGTTTGATGGTGCTCAAACTTAAGCCTTTGTACTTTTCAATCTTGTTTGATCGCTTCGTTGGTAATAACAGCGTGATTTTTACATCTCTGATTAGACGCAGACAGTGAAGATTCACCTTCCAGCGGCGGAATTCTAAAATGTCATAAAACCAAACGAGTGCGAACCACATTCACCGAGGAACAACTACAAATCCTTCAAGCGAACTTCAACATCGACTCTAATCCGGACGGGCAGGACCTGGAACGAATTGCTCAGCTGACTGGGCTCAGTAAAAGAGTAACGCAAGTTTGGTTTCAAAACTCGCGCGCGAGACAGAAAAAATACGGCACACCTCTGTTCTCTTCCAGCCCGAGAACACCAAGTTCGGCCAGCTTTTGATTCTCTCGGAGGCGAGGTGAATCTCCATTAATTTTAGAAAAGCTTTTTTAATGTAATCTTTCTTGAGTGTTAAGTTGTGGCAAGTCCTTTTGTTAAGAGAAGATTGTTCGCGTAGAAAACTCGTCAATGACACTTGTCCAGAAATTCTTGCTAGAGGAGAAGCTTCCCCCCCCCCCCGAAACTACCTTTTTATTTATCAACTGTAACAAATGTTGTCCTTCTGAAGTTTGCTTCAAAAAATCTTGCTAAAATTGGTGGCACCAGCTGCTGGACACGTTGACTTCTCAAAGGAGTACTTTTTCTTGGAAACCTTCTTCCATGTGAAGGGCCTTTTTGCGTAAAAAAAAATAGTTGAAATAAACTAAGCTCATTAAGCCGGGTAACCTTAGAAATCTTACAATCCTTACGTATAACTTCGGAGAGACGAAGTAGTTCGAATATTAACCAGAGGGAGAGCGGTTTTACCTTTTTTTGCCAATTGACTCATTGGCGTCAAGCCACACCCGTTTGGGTGAAGGTCTGAATTACATATTTGAAAGTTAACACCTGGTGTTGTTTCAAAGATCGCTTCATTCCTTTGATTTCATATTTGATAAGTTGATTTTTGCGTCGTTAGAATATGTACAGTTTATTACCAAGGGGCTTAAGGATTTTTTTGTCTTAATTCTGTTATTTCATTCTTGTAGATTGCAGATTTTAAGGAATTCAATTAGTCATGCTATCAGCAGTAATCGCAGCAACCAGCTGGATGCGTTTGTAAGGGAACAGTAGACATCAAACAAAAATGAAACGACGCCATTTCCTTAGCTTCCAGCCTTTGTCACCTTGGAACTGTGTGTTTTCACAGTTGGAGAAGTTATTTTGGAAAAAAGAAAAAAATACTTTAATCTAATGGGTGACTGAGAAAACTGTGGTGGTTTCAGGAATATTACTTTTAAAATCTCTTATTTTCGAAGGAGATAATTTACTCGACTTAACAGCGTTTGAATTTGGAATTCAGACCAACTTTTAACCCTTTTTAAGGGATACACAAGGGTATGCTTATTCACTATAGTGTTCATGTTTGTGGTAAGTTCTCCGACTGTCAAAACTACATTATTACTCGGGACAACAGTCAAAACAGTAAACAGGAATCGCCATGTAAACTTATTACCCTCTCTGAGAAAATTTTTCTATTAGGGGATCGATCGTCATTTATCGCCGGGGTGAGGGGTGGGGATTTTAGTTGTGTCGTAATGAAAATTACCTGATCCCCCCTGCAGTATTCTAATGAGTCCCCCTAGTTGACAGTCAATTTTCTACAGCAAACCCCTTTTTATTCTGTTGTGATTACTAATTCCCCCGCCATCCCCTCCTTAAAACCATGTGTTCCCCCAACTCCTCCGAACCCTCTCCACCCCCCACCCCCCCGGCGATAAATAATGGCTGTTCCCAGGCTGTTGTTGTTGCTATCATCAACCAGAACAGGACTGGTCCATGTTCTCTCACAAGAAACTCCGCCATTAAAATGTTGTAATATATTGGCATAAAGGAAAAACAAATAATATTTAACTTCTTATACGAGATAAGAGAATGTGCAGTATACATGAGGTCGTAGCTGTGTAAATTTTGTCCATAGAATATGAACATCCCTCCTAGTAGGGGCCAAAGCTGTTGCACTTGGTGCGTCTGCAAGTTGCTATTAAAATAAGGCTTAAGAAAAAATTGTTGGTGATCAGCTCTTCTTTGAAAATGTCTTCTAAACTGTTCCAGGTGTTCAGTTAGCATAACAGAACAAGATAAACGAACGGCGCGAAAGTAAAAGCGAGCGAAGAAAAAAAAAAAAAAGAATCGCATTTAGGTCGGCGCGTAATGTTCCTTACGATACCCGACCCACGCCTCTCTCGTTTTTCGCTTAGCTGCTACCCCTTCATTTACATTTGCGTTTCGTTTTCCGGACAGAACGCCTAAAACAGGCTCCCCTATGCAGACGTGAATTTTTTTTGTCGCACATCTTGTTTTCCCAGGAGAGAGAGTATTGCCTTACGGCGTGTATTTAAGTTAGGAGTCGATTTTTGCCCTCAGCAAGCCTGTGACACTCGATCATATGTGTGAACTTTATCTCTTGGCAAATTCCTCAAATGAAGATTCGAATGTGGTGTAGGGGTTTGTGCGCGCCAGTGAAAGTGAAGAGAACGAAACCCCTTCCTCGCCCATCTTCACAACGAGTACGACTCGTTGCGAAGCTCCCGTATGGCCTATAAGACAGCCTATCTAATATCGAAAGGACACCTGAAGAGGCATTTGAGTAAAAAAAGTAGTGAGGAAAGAAAAAAAAGTCAGTCTGTTTTTTACATGGCGGAGATACATGATAGCCACCCGGGCATTATAAAACTGGCTTGCGGTATCACTCATTATTCAATGAGGTGATAACTCACCACAGTTTTCTCTCAATAATTTGAACAAAAAACACGCGAGTAAAATCTTCATGCTTTGAAAGGCACCAAGCCACAGGCAGCCCCTCTCCATATTCAACAGTAACCATTACCGTGGTTAGCAGAAAGTCTTATCCTGTAGTTCCATGTGTCGAGTCAATACAAACACCTTTGGAAGCGAACTTTTGGGCCATTGCCTTTTGGAAGGGGATCTGGATGACTATGAAGAAGTCTTCCTGAAGTAGATCAAGATCTTCTTGGGCTTGCTCTCCTTGCAACTTGTAAAACAGTACCGGGTTGTTCCCACTTTCCTGCCACTCTTGAATCCAGGCCCGAACACTTTCTTGGTCATTTTCAGACCTTTGGACTTGACCCCCAAACCACTGAAAAGCTCTTGAGATGTTAGACAGGTCTTTCATGTCAGTGAGGTGATAGTGTTTAAATGCCCCCCCTTGCATCCTGTTCTCTCTTATGTCCCCAAGTATTTTGACCTTAGAAACTCCTTGCTGTATCAATGCAGCCATTTCCTCCTTTTTCTGTTTTGGCAACCATGTATGTTGTAGGTCTTGCTGGTGGCCATAATGGGTAAGGCATAGGTCAACAGTAATTTTGCCATCTTCAGTAGTCGTTGCTTTAAGAGTTGCTGTACAGTTGCGCTGTATCTTGAATGTGCCTGCAATATTATCAATTAAAAGTAAATCAGCAAGGATAATTCTCTGAGCAATTTACCCATACTTGACAGTCCCACCATAGGAAAGATTTTTCATGGTAGGGTGCCTCAGGTGTGAGCTCATGGGAAGGGGGGGGGGGTTCCAGGGCATTTCCCAGTTGGAAAAATAGAAAGGCAGGAAGGAAGTCAAAAGTGGATTTAAAACATGAACATTTCTGGTACTTTTGAAATTATGAATGGAGTTTTGTGAAACAGAAACTTTATGAGGCAGGCAATTTACAATTTAGGAAATAATGATTACAGGAATATATTTTCACCTAATTTTTCCTAAGGTAGACTTTACTGTTGAATTCAACCTAGAATCTCACAATCTGGTCATCTACAAAGACAGACCTTCAACCTAAAGGACTATACTGTATGTAAACGATTGGGGTACTACAGACACGACTATTTCTTTTTTCCAAATGGGCAGACTTCCACCACTCCTGGGGGGTGCAGATGCACCCATTGCACCTCCCCTTCCCTACAGGCCTGCTTAATGCAAATACTCAGGGTTGTGGCACAAGGGGCAGTAATAACTTTTCGTACTTGATGATAGCATTTATTGTACCTTGTGATTTTAATTGCCTTATTCCAGTTCCTTTCAGTTTGTAAACTCGTCCTGTGTTACATTGGTAATACGGCACAGTACCCTTCATCCCAGTTGTTTTTATAAAAGAGTACCTCTCTACCTCCTCTACCTTTGCCTTCCATTGCTCAAATGCTATAAATGGAAATAGAAATGTAAAATTATTGCAATTTGCATGAATATAATAAACATCATGAACTGGTAGTTGACATTATCTGCCATCAAGTAGGTTACACATAGAACACATTAGCTAATAAAATACCCAAAGATGTCCAGTGGAGATCTGCTTTTATGTCACCACCCCTCCAACTCCCACTATTTTAATGTAGTGTCAGATAAAACCTGATGGAACACTTCTATGTAGTGCATCCAGCAATGTTTAGCCAAAAGAATAAGCGAGGCCAGAAGGGTGTCATTTCAAATTGGTTAGAAAGGTTAACAAAATGATGCAGATAATAGCTGTTAAAACCCCACTCATCCCCAGCTCTCTCTTTACCACTCTATCTCATGACTATGCACAATTGGTAGATGGTTTAGACCTATAGTTGTAATTATTAAAGTGTTTCTATCTCACCTGCAATATTGTCAAGGTAAACTGTTGTTGTATAAATGCAACTCCATGTTTGTCACTGAGATCATTGTTGCCTCAGCCAGCAGGTCTGATTTTTTGTGACATTTAAAGTTACAGTGGTGACAATGGCATGTCCCTGTATACTCCAGTTTTTCATCTGGATGTTGCCTTTTCATGTGCCACTCTAAGCTTGCATTGCAAGAGAATACCAACAAGCATAACTTACACTGGTGGTTTTTGTTCTTGCCAGGTACACTGCAATTTTCTTCACTAGCTTCACTGGAATTAATGGAATCATCTGACTTCTTTTCATGAAGTGGAACATCACTGTCTTGCTTGTTACTACCAGAGTCCTGATTGGCTCATCTGGTGGCCCCTGTCTTTATCAACTAGAACACTGGAGTGGACGTCATTGGCCGGATTTAGCTGACAATGGCCATTGTTGACAGAAGGGTTGTCTTCAATTCTGGAAACCTTGACATCAGCTTCTTCACATGATTCTTCACTGACTTTATCATCAGGCAGGCTTTTCTTGGTCATTGACACAACTGGGGACCTGATTTGCTGGCATCTGGTGGCCTGTCTTCATAAACTGGGAAATCATTGGAATGGATGTCCATAGCCGGATTTTCATTAGAGGGGTCNCCATACCTTACTGAGTATATCAAATCCTTAAATTGCTCAATGGATGATGCAGGAGGCTGGTGTACTGTTGCCGGAATGTCTTGTATGGAGCTGCAAACCGGCATTTAATCTCTTTCTGAACTGCATTCTTAATTGATTTGGCACTGTTAAGCTTGAGCATGCTTTGCAAACAGGAGAGATCAAAGCAGCCATGCACATTTTCAGCATAAACAAATGTTCCATTCTTATGCTGATTCTTGCAGGTGATGCCATCTTTCCACTTCAGAGCTTGGTTTTCTGGAGGGAGAAACTTCAGGGTGAAGGGGTTTGTCACTTGTCTTGTTACTGTGTTCTGCGGTAGGCGTGTTCTTGCCACACTCCTTGTTGGAGGAAGCCAACAGTCATATGCAGCTCCTCTGCTAAATGATTTAATACTCTCAAGAGTGAATCTCTTTGAGTTCTCTCTCAGTTGTTTGACCTAAGTAAACACATTTTGTAGTGTATTATTAATATTTTACTGATACAGACAATTTTTAACTTCCTTTTCATCAGATCATAATTTGAATTAAATAGTGGATGCAAGTTACGCATTACTTCTGCAAACAGTGTGTCCAGCTTCTGCATAATTAAGCAATTAGGAGTATTGCTACACCTCACTGGATGGGATACTAAGGCATCACAGTCCTCCCGCCCTGTATGATTTATCTTGGTTTTCACAAATAAATTTTCAGTGCCCATTTTTACACCTAGATCTAGCCTGTGTGACAGGCATTCAAAGGAGAGGGTCCAAAGGGAGAAGTGTGTGTGTGTGTGGATCGATGTTGAATTGTATTTGCCTTTGTTTATGGAATGTGAAATTTTCTAGTGAATGTCATTTGCCCACAAAATCTTTCTCTTACAGTGTCATTAATATTCATTGTGTAAGTTTTAACCCTCATTAAAATTCACAATTATTCAAAAATGATTCTTACCTCAATTTGACTGTTTGCCATTATGTGAGCTAGTGGGTTCACTAGAGAAGCAAGACTATCTTTAAAACTTTTGGCACGAAAGCACTAAAAGTAAGGATGGGCCGACACCGATACCAAATATTCGATACAAGCGATACCGAGGTCGGATCGAAAAATATCGATACAGCAATGAGTATCGATTCTTTCGATACTGAACGTGATCTACCCCGCGCTTTAATCTCCCGCGTCTGACCGCTGGCAAGTAGCCGTAAAGACTCCGGGCTCGAGATCGTGCATTTGTACATTTGTGAGCAATTCTGTAGAGCTGGAGGGGAACAGGGGGGCGAGAGCCCGCGAGAACAAGGGGCGGGAGAGGGAGGGAAGCGGGAGAACAAAGAGCGGGAAGCGGTATCTACATGAGGGCGGGAACCGGGAGCAGAAATAAATAAGGCGATAGTTTGTTGTTTATTACTGGGTATTACTCAGTCATGAACGCTTATCTAGCAAGGTTTTGAAATTTTCAGTTAACGTCTACCAATGCTTAAAAACATTTTCAGAGGAAAGAAAACGTAAATTTGTACCCGGGCTGGAAAAACAGCATTGCTTCCGGTAAATTTGTGAATCCCGTCATTGATCATGAGATAGCATGACATGTACAGTGTCTAGTAAGTTGTAGCTGTCGAAAATCTCCAACAAAGAAAGGGATTCAGGGTCATACAGGTCATTCAAATGTCGTCAAAGACCATATTAATCGGTCTCAGTATTTTCCGTTGTGGCCACGAAAAATCCGTTCATGGAAGACCTTGGGAGCTCGCTCCTTATGACTGTACCTCCCAAATTACTGAAGATTTTGCCTCGTGGTGCAAATTTGTTTCAAAGGAATGCCGCTTCGGTGAGCGCGCCGGAGAGTGCGGAGTGGTCCACTTTTCGACGCAGGGAACCCTAGCTGAGAAGACAGTCGCCTCAGTAACTTTCATCAAGAACTTCCTCCATCGCCTCCGAACGCGATTAAGTAAAGAATGTCCTCGTATGCTCTAAGTTCTTGATGTAAGAACATTTCTTACACTCGTTAACGAGTATTTCAACAGTGAAATGCGACAGGTGACAGACACACCTACTGTGCTGGATTGTGCGATGTATTTCGTTGAGGCAGCAGATGAGACCTTAATGAGAATTGCTTGTCCTGGTTATATTTGCTTCACTCGGGAGAAACAACACTATGAGCTACCATCACAGTTTTCAATCAAGTACCAAGACTTACTTCCGGTACCACGAGAGCCAACTAGGCCCGTGTTCCTGAATAAAGAGGACGATTGGAGAAATGAATTTGGACGAGGGGTCAGGCAACAGTCCGTGCGAAATTCTTTCACGAAAGACAAAGCTGGTACTCTCCTCTTCTATGTGTAGACTTCAGTGGATGCACACGACAGCACCGAGGAACAAGCTCTTACATCAATACAGATACACCAGTGCATCCATCAGGTACTAACTATAGAAGCGATGTAGAGCCCGTACCCTTGCCTGGGTATGATCACAAGACGTATCAGTCATCACATACTGGAATTTACGCAATCAAATGCGAATCCAACTTTTTCTCCATCTTCATTTCACGTGCGATAGACGCAAATGATTTCTGTGGTACTACATATGTCATAATAGATGAAAGCTGTTTTCTCTTGGAAACATCTAGCGAAGAAGCAAAATGCAAGAGAAGTGACGTTAATTGTGGGAAGATTCGATACGATTATTCATGCAACGGTCGTTTAGAGTTAACTGAAGAAAGATTTTGCCAGATCCTTTCAGACTGCCGAGGGGAATGTGATTTAGAAACACTGAAATGAAACTGAAGAAAATCAAGAATATTATCTTGACTCGGAGGAAGAAGAGGCTCTAACCAAAATTTGGAGTAGGAAGAGGTCAGTGCGGCCTCCCCGGCGCATGGAAGACTTTTTCTAGCCGCAAAGGTTAAAAGACGATTTCAACCCATTGAACAAATCTGATAATCGGTCGAACAAGACTGTTCAATCATGCCTCACTAGCAATTAAACTGAACGCTCAAAATGCAAACGGTTCAACAATTGATGTACTAACTACGAATACTTAGTCCTACTTACGTCAAAAAGGGAAAGCAAGCATGAATACAGAAGAAGCAAACTCTAAACGTTACGTCTACCTCTTGATTTTTTTCTTTTGATTTTGAATTGGCAATAGCTATTACATCACATATTGAGCTGAGACAGTTCGTCTCTACGGACGAGATGTCAGAAGCGACGATCAAACTGTGATAACCCGGTTAGTGAAACTTAGTTTAGTAAGAAAACTGACCAGTAGTAGCTTCCATCGGTAACAAATGATCCCCAGCCAAAACAAAGACCAGCCGAAATGAACAAGAATATTAAATTTTAGCTCTGTTTGAAAGTTAAACCCGGGTTTCTGATCCTCTTCATTAACCTGAAGACGGGAGCAACACAATGGAGGGCGGGAGTCGGGAGGCAAGGGGGCACACAAGTACAGGAGGCGGGAGAGCGTGGCACGGGAAGCGGGAGACTCCAAACCCTCTGCCCCACCCCCCCGACATACTTTAAATTATATATACATAATTATCTCTTGCACATCAATCCTAGGTCAGTGCCATTTCTTTGTTTATCTAAAAGTAGGTCCATGGTGGCCAACTAGAAAGCCTTCGCTACTTTGACCACTACACACATTCTTATTATCTGTACTTTATTTATTTTATTCTGTAATCATTTGTAGCAATTTTACTTTTCTATCTATATTAATTTTATGTAAATGGTGTGAAATAATGAACCTTGAACCTTGAACCTTGCCTTGACGTGGGATTGATCTATGGGTATTCCAAAGAGCTCTCAAGTTGCTTGGAATTTCTAAGCAATACAAATGTGAAAGGAACTCATACATGTACGTTATAATTTATTGCGTACTTGGAAGGGTTTTACACTCTTTTAGATTAAAAGTTAAAGAAAGAAAGTGAATTTGAAGGTCATACGTTCCATTTAAAGATTTTCTTTTGGCTAAAATTGGGGCTAATCTATGTCACCTCCAATGATAAAGAAAACGATAGAGCTGAATAATGAAAGGCTACATCAGAGGGTATACGGTCAACAACGCGGGCTCAAGTGTCCTTGGTCTAAAATTTAGCGAAATTGGAGGAAAATAATAAGGGCCGACTTTTAAAACCGAAAAACTCCGTTTTTGTCGAAGGCATTTTCCTATTTCCAGAGGTTTGGAGGTTGTTCTGTAAAAGAAAAGGGGCAAGGAAAACGACACCTCAAGCAACAGAATAGGAAATCAACCATGCGAACGACTCAAAATCCATGTTTCCACGGCAAGGGGTTACAATGACCCCATATAAAAAAATAATTAGTCTTACAATGACCCCATATAAAAAAAGGTAATGAAAACTAGATAAATTAATAACAATGATAGTATAGGTTAACCTGAATTAAAATACTTGTTACTAATATGAATTAATAAAAAAATAACAAATCATATTAACAATTTCATTAAATGTTTTATAACCTTGAATTTAAAGATATTCACATAAGATGGAGAGCAGACCTCATATTGAGCAGGGCTGTTATATTTTTCCACTTTTGTTGGAATCAAAGTAGCTACATTTAATTATATTAGTCCTAACGATATCACTTTTTTTAATGATCTGGTATAGCAGTATCCAAGTGAGAAGGGGTCCTATCTGCATTAAAAATCCAATAACTGGGACAAATCAAAAGAAACAATGAAACATTGAAAAGAAGCCCCTTGTAAGTGTCATTTCAAGGCACTCTTTGCTGAATTATCCAATGCAAGTCTGAGACCTGGAGAAGAAATAAATAGAGACTTCTGTAAGAATATGTCCAGAGTTTAGATAAGTTAAACAAAGATTTGGAGCTTCTATGCAGTAGTCACAGAACAAAGAACAACACAATAGCTGATTATGTTTTATTTATCAATCATACACCTTTTATCTTCTGAATGTAAATAGAATTCATAGTTATTGATATTTATTAGAAGGGTTTACCAATAGATTTAACATTGTTTTCCTCCTATATTTCCACATTATTTCATTTTTATACTTGTCTGTGACAGTGATATCTTTTTCATCACAGTTAATAGGTTCCAGTGTTACTGTTACCATTCAGGCTTCGTACACTTTTGACCTGTTAAAATTCCATGATTTTCTATAACAGTACAGTCCTTTGTCGTTACCAAGTATTTGCCACGTGGATTATGGAGACCCGCATTTCTGAACCCCATTTCTGATAGCCCAGAGTTTGTAGATGCCAGACTGCACATTTTGTTCTTAAGTTAGTTAGCCACTGCAGATTTTGCCTAATTTCATCCGCGCAGACTAATGGCCCATACAATTCGCCCTTTCATTTCCAAGATCTGATTGCTAATTCTCTCCTCTACCTGCTAGACATTTCCTATTAAATCAGTTACAAGAATTTAGTATTAGATCTGGATAATGCATGTATATTATATAAAGAGAAGTTACACAGTCCAGCAAATACGAGATATCGTCCATTTTTCATCTCACAAGATAACCTCGTACGAAGTTATGAGGCTTACATGAGGTAGTTGACCTTAGTGAGCCTGCGCTCCTTCGTTAATAGCTGGGTTGCGATTGGATGATGGAAAGTTGAATGTTGAATGGCGCGAAGTACTGCATGCATGTTGAATATATCAATACCATAAGTACAACAATATTGCATTGCCACAACTACAAAGTGGAATTACGAGAAGTACAATGTTTAATACTCGAAACTTGGAAGTTTAATTGTAAAAATGACATTGTTGAATCGGAAAAAGTTTCATAAGGAATAAAAACTTGAATGTCCAATCGTGAAATAAGGAAGAATACTAAAAGTACAATGTCAAATCGCAATGTTGAATTTTGGCCCCGATGGGACGCCATAATAAGCTGCAAAGCTTTTATTACTATCGGGCTAAAATAAAGGTTGTCTGTCTGTGGCGTACCTGCAAAACTAATAGTTAAACAAAGCGTAGTGTCCACTTTAAGTCATAAAGTCTGGAAGCCATAGAGTCTTAAATTAAGGCTAGCACGAAAACAAATTGGCGAGTAAAGGATGTCCACAACAGCAGTGCCGTTTTTACTGGACGGGTTTGTGGGTCCGTCTGTTTTTTTTCTCTTCTTTTTAATCACCGGGAGAGCATTGTTCTGTTGTGTTTTAATGAGGAGAAAATTATTTCTTTGTATTGTAAATCTCAGACTGAAACAGAAACAGAGGGGATTTCTTTCCGTTAAGGGAGCTGTTTTCAGTGCAATTGCTGTATGTAACAAATATGTTTCTGACAGCTTTGCAGGAAACTTCCCCTAACACCACAACTGGCAGGAAGCATGTTTTTATAGCACCAAAGCCAGCGGACAACAACACGGGATTTCACACCTGTTTTGTTTCGCACGAAACTCCATCATACTTGCAACCCACCGATGGACAGATGGAAGATTGACCTCAACTATCAGGAAAGACACCAAAGCAATACTCGAATATCGAAGAGTGGGTCTGAGGCCCTATCCGCCTTGGGAAGACTATCTGCCTCGATTGGAGTGGAGAAGAATCTTCTGAACCAGTCTCTCTCGGCTTGATCAGGGCTGAAATTTAATTTTGGAGAAGAGCGGAAGTCTGGAAAGGAGTCAAGGGGAGGTCCCTTTGTAAGTTCAGCGATAAAAAGTTACCTGAATGTATAAGTGTCAAGCGACAATTGTCCGTGTCTGGTCAACTCTTCTCTCTGACTAGTTAAAAACAACTCACAGTAAAAATAACACGTACGACCTTCTCAAAAAATATTTTTTACTAAACCTGATTTAAGCTTGTTTAACATTAATACTATCTTCCGAGTTTAATTTTAAGTTATCGAAAATAAACAATGAATTTAAATACGGAAAGGGGGTTTGTTTATTTTGTTCTTCTGAGACACCGAAAGTTGGGTGCGAGTTTTATTTTTTGGTTTCTGTCTTTTTGGGTCCGTCAAGTTCGTTGACCCTGTCACTCCCAGGATCTCATGAGTGATTCTCCTTACTGAGTGCCCCACACTTCTTTTGTAAGTCCGGAGAATTGATAGTGGATCAGCTGATAATCTCCTAATTGATATTATATTAAAACAGTGGATAGCGTTGAAGGTGTTGAATTGTTGTCGCGCGATTTTGTCTCTTAGGCTGCTCTGAGGTGAATGGTACTTGCTAACCACTTCCGTACTGGCCAATCAGCGCGCGCGAAAAGCACTATTCACCCGTGTGGTGTCGCAATCTGCAATTTGCCGTTGTCGATATGACTAAAGATAAAATTAAAAATTTGTTGCAGACTCTCTCGGCTGCGCCTCAAGAGTCCACAACATTTTGACCACTGTAATGACGAATATCGTTGTCGATAAGAGTATAGACCACGCTAAACAATTGTCGAATTTTTAAATACCCATTGCTGTTTGGTTTCGTCAGGAAATACGCTTCATAATCACACTAATGGTGCGCATTGAGACTCGAAACTCTTCGGTAATTTATGGCTGTGCTAAATACTATATACATGCGGACTTTAAAATATTAGAAATATTCGTCGACGAGCCCTTTTCAATGGCGTTAATGCTTTTTCATGACTCATCACGAAATTATACCTAATTGTTTGAAGCCACAGAAACGTATGCCTAGAAAAGGTGACGTTCTAAGAAGGTTTCGAGTCTCCCTTTCTAACACTAAGCAGCAATGCTTTAAAATGAATAGTTTATAATTTATTGTTTGAGATTGAGTCATTCCAGCAACAACTTTGATACCAATAAGTTCGAACCAAGTGAGTTTTCACGAAGGTGGATTATTTTGAAAAATATTGATGAAGCATGCACAGGACTTTACGGTACTTAATAAAAAATCTGATGGAGTCGCTCAAGAATTAATGATGTCCTGCAGAGAAAATGAAAATATCTCGCAGGGCCTCTGAAGTCATGTTGATCCATATTCATGAACCAAACCTTTTTCGCGGAAATGTGAATTTCCTTAAGGCCAGCCTATACAAGACGGCCCTTGCATTGATTTTGATGAATTATAGTACGTTTTCACTTTCACTTCAAATAGATTCAGAAATCGTTCGCAAATTGATTCCAGGAAGTAATGATGAAGAATCCTTTGTTTTGAAATATCGATATGGCATGCGCAGAACTTGGTGGAATTAGTGTTGTTACGAATGGTGACAAACCCTGTAAATTCAAAACTTTTAATCAGAAGTCCTTCACAAGGCTCCGAGAAAACTCGCACTCAATCTTACCGTGACTAACGCAACATCGAAACCAAAAATCGAGAAAAACTGAACGACATAGGGAGCATAGAGAGAGAGGTGGCTTAGTGGCACCGTTCGAAGATGCAGCTACCGCGCATGCATGAAAATCTAGATGTCCCGTATGGGAACCCAGGCGACGGTCGCGCGTAGACCGGCCGCAATGATTAGTAAAATGAGATGCTCTCCATCAAGCTGAATGAAAATCGCTTTGTCGTCGAAGACGTCTCTTTACTGAACTCAGAAGTAGTTAACAGTTATGCTCCCGATCATAGCAGTCGTGATAAAAGACACCATTGGTTTGCTCGTGAGCAAAGGAAGAGACTGGGTAGTAGAAAAACTGAAAGATGGCGATGTAACAGATAAAAAATTCCGTTCTTTGCTCATTCGGGAAATAGACAACATCTCGTCGAAGTTAGATGCACTTGCAAGGCAGCATCTGTTAACAAGCATCAGCTTCTTCAAACAAGGATTGGTGTATCTTTTTACCTTGCTGGACGAGGGAAGAGTTCTCCGTCTGAACGGGATCGCTCTCACAAGTCCAGGAACATGTTCAGCTGCGCGCTTTCGATCAGAAACTACTGTAGATACAGCTTCCGCTATTGTCGACAGTCTGAAAAAGATGCAGCTCGCTGGCTTGAGTGATTCACACAAAAGGGCGCTTATCGACGCCAAGGAAGCATTCAAAACAGCTTGTCTGGAAGCAACAAAAGCCTTCAACAACGAAGCTTTGAGTACCACTGATCGTATCAGAGCCATGGCTATTCGTGCTGCGGCCAAAATTCTGGAGAAGGTAGATTATCCTGAAGACGCAATAACCGCATGCTTGTTGTATCTAGAGGAGCTGAACTCAATGCCGGCCGTTCAGGGAAGTTTTAAGATTGAGGTAGAAAAGAGCTTCATGGCTTATTTCAACCAAGCTGAGCGCAGAGGTATCATATGCAGTGTCTGCAAGATAAATCGTATTATCTACGATTTCACGCAAACAGTGGACAAAGGGATACCCTTGTTGTTGTGGCCCACAGTTGATACCGGAAATAACAAATTTGATCCACTGCGTGACGTGAGAGTGACTGAGATAACTCACGAGCAGGGCACGGAACACTGTTCCGTTTCACCGCAGTCATTTAGTCAGAGAGAAGGAGAGGAAAACAGCTTGAAATTACCGAGTTGTATCGCTGCAAACTTAAGCGGCAAATTTATCTTTGGAGACAACTGGGACAAAACTGTAAAGATGTTTGACAACAGAGGCAAGTTTATCAATCTTTTTAGTCTACCTGTCGACTCATTCAGCGCGAAGTTACCAGTCCGTGACTTGGCCACCGACTCGAATGGGAATATTTATGTGCTTCTCCAAGAGAAAACACCCGAGACAGAGAGACAGATAGAGAAATTTGAAATTTACGTCTTCACTGAAAATGCTGAATTCCATCACAAGTTATCTCTCAGAGAAGGATTCTGGACAAAAATGATTGTCAACGACAAGAGCAAAGTAGTGTTACTCGAAGAGATCAGTAGAATCGAAGATTTAATTCATGTGTACGAGAACGATGGACAGTTTTTTCGAAGTTTCGGAAAGGGAATATTGAAAATAGTTTTGGATATCACTGCTATGAATGATGGTCATGTTATGGTTCTGGCTTTGGAAGATTGGAGCGCTAACTACGCTTATGTTCATATATTCAGTGAACACGGCCACCATCTTAACGTGTTTAAACTCAGAAATTATGATTTTACTCGCTTTACGTTTTATTTGGCCAGTAATCTTATCGTCGTTGCCGGAAATAACAGAATGGAAAAAGTCCTCCATGTCGACATTTACTCTAAAGATGGAGAGTTTGTGCGCTGTACACAGCTTGATGGACAAATTTCTGATTTCCACTTAAAAGAGATCGGAGTGAGCAAAGAAGGACACATAGCTTTACTAAGTTACTCAGCGCGACACCTCAACATGTGGAAGGTTCTTACTGTTTGAAAATAGGATACAGGGTACGATATTGTCGTGTGTTCTCAAATGGTGATATAAAAGAGTAATTGTCAAACTTCTAAAAGTGGGTTCATGTACTGTTTTGGCCACAGTAATAGGACCTTAAGCAAACCAAGACGGCGATGGCAACAAAAGATCTAAAGGGCAGAACAATAGCTCAGCACGTTCGTTTTAAAACTTTGTACACTTTTTAACCATCCTCTGCAAAACAATGACGTGAAATCACCAAAATTTGCGTGGTCTGAGAGCGGAAAGCACGACCGAAAAAAACTTTAAGTTTCCATTTGGAACTCAACGCTGCTCACCTACGTTATGTTAAGTTGAAGTGAAATGCCGTAAGAGACGGTAGAAACATCCAAACATTTGCGAAATTCAGTCTAACTAAAATTAGCAATCAAATTTTAATCGCAGTAAATGGCTTGAACCCGGGGGTAACATGTGAAGGTGTAGTCTGATCGTCCGGGTGAGTGTAGTCCTGAGAAGGACTGTTGTCGGTGGTAGTGACTGACGTTTCGACAACCTGTGCGGAAGTCATCATCAGAGTCAAGTGAATGATGATGACTTCCCTACAGACTCCCCTAAACAGATGTCAACAACTACCCGCCCCATACAAACGACTCATTCACGACATAAACATCATAAACGACCGAAAAAGAACGACCTAACTTTACCGACAGATCGAAACAGACCAATCACGACCGACTTACGTCACTTGAGTCTTACAGCCAATAACATCACGGCAAAACCAACCGATCATTTCACACGAACTGGAATAAGAACATTCTACTGACAACAATCATTCACTTGACTCTGATGATGACTTCCGCACAGGTTGTCGAAACGTCAGTCACTACCACCGACAACAGTCCTTCTCAGGACTACACTCACCCGGACGATCAGACTACACCTTCACATGTTACCCCCGGGTTCAA